ATTTAGCATATTCCTGGGGTGTGTGTATTATTTGCTATAGTGCCCGCGGCTGTCTAAGAGAGAAGTGGTACACTCTAATGTAGTGGCTCTCCATGATAATTGAATTGATGGAGCCCTGGGGGACACAGAACGCAGATTTTTAGTGAATAAAACACTGTTTAAATTCAACCATAGTTCTATAACAAGTCATCTCAGGAAACATATGTTCCAGCGAATTTCCCCTTGTAAAGAAACACCTACATTTGCCCTTCTTTTAACTTTTTATCAGGCAATACTTTGAATGACATTTCATTTAAACACACTTTTTTATCTCTTCAACATAACTGCACACTTTGTCTTTCCTTGGTTTCGTCTGTAGCGCTTCTGACCTGGCATTTCACATACATTTTGTGTGCCATGCGGCCAGATCCTCCTCATGTTACTCTTTCATTTGAATTCAGGCTTGCTGACGAGCACACACACACACACACACACACACACACACACACACACACACACACACACACACACACACACACACACACACACACACAAACAGCCAAGTGGCATGTTTTATTTATGAATGAGGAACCTGTGCGGTGTATTGTGTCCCTGATGTTTGCTTTAGCAGCGAGCCAGAGATCCGCTCCCGGCCCTTTGATTAGGCAAAGAGCTGCAACTGAGGGGGTTTGTGTGTAATGAAGAGATTATTGAGCACCCCGAACTGTACCCCAAACCCTGCATGAACACACATACATGCATTTACAGTTGCAGATGGACAACCTACAGAATAGGAGCCACAGTGACGGCTGCGCACACATGCACTTAACCTGATAACATTGCACTGCAGCTTTTATTTAATGGGAGACAGCACTGCAAGCACAACAAGGAGAGGCAGAGGTCTCTAATTAATTTAGAGTCCTCTGTGGATCTTGGAGGGTATCAGGGGGGTTTGAGTCTTCTAGTAATACAGCTTGGATGAATACCATTACCATCTAATGCTGTCCAATTACAGAGGCCTGCTTCATTCCAGGCTCCACTGCAACTAATACAATTTTATACATATGACTCGATATGGACGGAATAAGGAGGAAGCACTCTGGGCTGCAATACAACCTAATGTAACAAAACTGCACGCACATAAATCAGGTGTTTGCTGTTTACTTTTATCCCGGATTTTTCATTTATTTCACTAAATTGAATGTATTGAAATCAATAGTATCTTGCAGCCTATTCAATCCCCAGCTTTACATGTTGATGGTGATAAATTCAGTCATATCTAGATGGATATAGTTTTTATCAACCAGGAAATTAAACCAGCCTTGCCTGTGACAGAGGTCAAATTTAATCCTGAAACACCCAATCTGGGCTTGTTTCAGATATATGGCTCAGTAGACCTGTATAAAATCCTGCGTAGGCCATTTTATAGATTACTTGGGCTATTCAATTTGATATTGCTTTTTTTCCAACCACTGTATTGTTTGTTAGAGCTGCCTTTGTTAGAGCTGTAACTGCCAGTTTTAGTCCAAGAAAATGTTGCCCTCCACAGGAGAAACAAGGTAGTGCATCCCATCCAGCCAGGACAATGATAGACACTTAAGTAAAAGGATTATGGCCTCAGTTGTTGGATTAACTAAAGTAAATGTTCTCACAGAAAGTTGCCAAGCGTGTTTTCACCACGTCCCATCTCATTGTTGACTTTGAGATATCTTCCCAGGGCACTGCTTAAGGCGTGTTGCCTTTGTAACTGCAGCTAAGGCTTTTGAAGAATATGCTTTCAATTAGCATACTCTTTACCACAGAAAAAAAAAGCCATGAAGTTGGTGTAGACAATAAACATTTCAACCGAGAAAAACTGTAATGTATTGCTTGGGATTTCTGGCCACATAAAGATATGGTAATGTTTGATTTAATGGCTTTAGGCCTTGTTAAATGGCTGAAATTATATATTGAACAAAAGCAATAGAGGGCTTTTTACTACAACATAGACCATAAATCCTGTGTTGTTATTGAGGTTGTTGGCAAGACTCTGTCAGCAGACACATAGTGGTCGGTAGTTTATGCCTGGGGCGTTAGTTAGGCCATGTGGGCAACAAAAATCAGGACTAAAGCTACTGTGCTTTTGTGAGAATTGGGGCCAACTTGCTCAACAATACTGTACACATTAATACATGTGGTGCCGCAAAGAAAAGGCCTTTGTGCTTGTTTGCATTGAGGTGGAATTCAGCTGAACTACTTGATGCTGGAGGTTGCACTTGTAATGAGCAGCTTTTTAGTGCCTTTCTGCCGTGTTTGTATCATTAAAAACCTATTTCCATACTTGTGGCTTAAGGAAAAACATTTTATTTACACTTTGCCAAGTAGATATTTTTAATATGCTTGCACATGCTATAGGAATGACCTCCTTTCCATGTTGGTTTTCTCCATCACTTGGCCCATTTTTCCTCAAAGAGTGATGGTGAAGAAGAGCCAGAAAGTCATTGGTTTTGGTCCAGATATATAGGTCCAGCTCTTGGCAGGGGGATGTACTACTTTATGCTTCTGTACTGCTGGATTTACAGCGTCCATTACTCCTGACAGGGGGAGCCTCCCTGTTGTGTAAAGAGCCGCTCCACATAGTAGCCATGAATTTATGGCCACAATGAGGACCAGAACTGGTTTTAATGGTGACTTGGGTTTAATATTCTCACTCCCTCGACCGATTCACCCTGTTAAAATCTGCTATTGTGACAGAATTCCTGCCAATTGACAATATACTGCAATAAAATATGGTTGCATTCAAGACAATATGGTCACAGTAAAAATGGCAATTTTCTAAAATGTTAGGTAATTTACAGGCGATTGTTTGGATATTTTCCTTTGCAATTTAACTGCATGGTCTCGCTTTAAATCATGGCTGCACATGTTGATGATACAAGGAGAAAAAAGAGAAACCTCATCTTGAAGTTAATGTTTTGTCTATTTACCAATTGCTGTCTGAGTACATTTTCCAATCAGTAGCCCTTATTTCATTCACACCACTAGATGTCCCCATAATGCTTGTCTGTGAAAAAGCACTTCACCATCTCTGTAGTCTCACACTGAATAATGACACACAATGATTGGTGCTTAACATGGAGAGGGAGACTTAAATACGACCTCTAGAGAAGAAAAGAAATGCTTTGCTTCCTCTTCTGGCATCACAGACTTTTTCTACAGTCTACAGTCTACAGTGGATCGATATATTCTTTATATAAATCTCACTTTTCAAGGCAGATGATGATATATAATCTTTTATCAAGAGCTGACAAGATAATCCTCTCCTGAATTTACAGCCAGAGAATGAGTTTTTTGCAGACAGCCTTACAGTCATAATTACTTAACACTTCAGAGAAAAATATCTACTGTTTGTAAAACCAAACAAATAAGATAAAGTGCACTTTAAATCCAAGTCTCTTATTCAGCAAAATATGCTGGGGGTTTGTAAAAGAAGCAACTTTTTCCATTTCCTTCCCCAGATGGCTATCCAGTTAGTCTCTTTCACCTCGAACCAATTTCCAGTTATTTCACAATCTTGTATTTTCAGCTGACAAGATAGTGACAGATGGTTGATCACTTAAACCTTCAGCTGAGAAAATGGAGCCAATTGCTTTGTCATAAATTGTCAGCGGCACAAGATTCCAGGTTGTGTGTAGCAACTGCGAGACTAAGAGAATGATCCTCGCTCATTTGCTCTGTCAGCTAAAATCCTTGGCCTTGCTGGTGGCGGTTGCTCAAAGCTCCTCTGCAACTTTGTCACTGAAAAACTCACTTGTGATGCCAAACTTCCCCCCTCTCAAGGAGGGAGTGTGCCAGCACACGGCCGCCGTCTTTGAAGTCGGGTTTGAGGCAAGAACGGTTCTGTCTTTTGGGAGCAGATGGCTGAGGCCATGAGACAGAGAAGAATCCAATTAACGACTAAAAAAAGAGCTTTCGTTTTGGAATTGTCTCTGGTGAAAAAGGACAGATAAAAATGGTTATGCGATCTGTGGAGACCTTGCACACCACAGACTTTGAAAGTGCCTCCTGAGGATGGTTGGGTTAACTCACACCAAACCAAGCTTCTGAGAAAAAAATCCATAACTCTTGGCTATAAAACAGCAATTAAATGAAGTAAAAAGCATGCGGAAGGGAAGGAAAGGCAAGGATGACTAGGCTTTACCTCAATGATCCTGTTGCGAGTTATAGATAGTTATAGTTAATTCTGTGCCTTAGCTGCAAAGTTCTTCTACCTGCCTTTAGCTTGTGAATTCAAAATATAGTTAAGTTAGTTAGTAAGTCAAGTGAGGCTGTATTCACTCATAAAAAACTACTTTCTTGCAAAGTTACCAAGCAACAGCACTGTAAAAATAAATCACATAAGAACAGAGCACAGTTTGTCTGTCCAGGAAGTACCATTGTTGAGCATATTCTTACTATAGCTAACTATGGAAAATGTGAATGTTTGAGGACCTTGATGCCGTTAAACTGGAACACTTAATGTGGTAGCACGGCAGTGAAATTAAAAGTAAGAGTGCAGAGAAAGATTGAGGTGTGCGAGACGAAGTTTGGTGATGTTGTTTGACATTTAGTGTGAACTTTGTCGTAGCGACAGAAGGAATGGGAGGTTCATTATGAACATCTCAAAGTAACAACAAACTGCAAAGGTAATGCCATTCTGACAGCTTAAATGTCATCACGACCCTGTTCTCTTTTTTGCTTTCACCGCTAAGGCATGAAAAGTATGACTCGGATTGGATTTTTTGGACCAGGACGACCTGTGTTGGATACTAGGCAAAGGAGCATGTTTGGGGATTTTTTTTTATCACTAATGATGATCATGATGTTGAAACCTTTTCCCAGGAGGGTCAGAGATCAGGGACAGCAGGAAACATGGCATGTCAGGGAGTCAGGTACCTGCACTCCAGGACTATAAATATGGCATATGACTTAGGGATGATCTTTTCTGAGCCTTTAGGCCACACACCACCGAGAGTTAACCGTTCTTATTTTTGCGTCCACAGCGAGAAAAGCTGATCCACGAGCTAGAGGAAGAGCGACGTTTGCGACTGGAGAGCGAGAAGCGTCTCCGGGAAGTGACAGAGGAGTCCGAGCTGGGACGGGCGCAGATGGTCTCACTGCAGCAGCAATTCTCCAGGTAAAAGGACCTGAAAGTCAAGAGTGTATTGAACATTATTGTTGGGCCACAGTGACCCTTAAGTCCTGTTTTCTTAAGGGGTAATACTTGACCATAATGGAGAGAGCAAATGTTTTGATTTGTTATGATATTGACATCATGACATCCAATATATGCCCTCTGTGTAGGTATATTTATGCTTATGGTACTTGAGTATTTTAATGTGAAGTTACTTTATAAGGGTTCTCCACTACAGTTAAGATAGAAATTATACTTTTTACTGCACTATATTTAATCACTTGTTACTTTACAACAACAGGAAAATGGAGCTTACATATTAATGCATCAGTTATAATCCTCCAATAATATAATTTATGTAACTGTCAGGGCTTTAGAAATACTGAGGTCAAGAGTCCAAGTTCCCTAAGTACCACCACAGTTTCAGGATTTATCATTTACAGGAAGTGATTTAAAAACAAGAATAGTAATTAATACTCATGTAAAAGCTGTTTTGTTCACAGTATATAACCCACAAAATCACAAATATCACTGAAAAGTTGTGTCATTCCAGCATCAGCCTAACATTTCTTCTGACATTTAAACTGTGTTAGTGACCAAACAGATGACGGGGTAACACATAAATGCTGTACGTAAGCAATATTACGCACGAGAAGGGCTCATGTGACAAAATGTGACATGTCGGGATCACACCGGCAGAGCATCAGCTTAGAACAGCAATTAGACAGATAAACAAAAATAATGGACGTTTTCCAGCCAATTAGAATCAAATATTCACTTCAGGCCGCAATATAAGTCATGATAATGGACATTACAAGCTAGATAAAAGCAGCATCATATCATTCCCCATCTCTCTCCCCGCATTTCCTGTCATCTGTGTACTTTCTGCAAATGAAGGCATTAAAATGTGTTAAAGAATAGATCTAATAAACACTTTGACATTTTGTGTCAAACGTGGAACAGACATATCAAAAACAGGGACAATAACGGGGTATGTGGCATACTCTCACAGAAGTTGTGTTTTTTCTAAAAAGTTTCATTTCTTTTCAATAAAAGAATTTTTGGCAGCAATTTCCTGCAATCAGCCCTTTGTCTTAGAAGAATCAATATGGTGTTCTTGCTGTAGCCATTTCTTCATTTCTTTGTCCTTGCCATTTCGTCTGAGTACTTCAGCGATATTTCTTTTGGTCACTTGACCTTGTCATCGGCAAAAAGATGGGCTGATGCATTACTTCAGTGTTGAAAACGGAAAACTTATAAAGCATGAAGTGCTCAAACATTGCTCTTGTCATAACTTCAGTAACCTCTCTTTCATGAACTCGTCCTCCACCTCGCGGCCGCTGAGGTGTGACAGAGTGGGACAGCAGCTGAAGAGTAGGAGCCGAGTTGATGTCTTAATTAGACGATCGGCATTCAGTGCTTTACTTATCCAACACACACACACACACACATACACACAAAAATAGTCCAGAGGATTTCACATTTACTGCTTATCTTCTCATTAAGTTAGTGGAGAAAATCCTGTACATTTTAATGGTCCCAGTGTTATAGAGCAGATGAGGGCAGAGTCACTGCCAGGGGAAGAATTAAATATTTAAGAGCCATTCCAAAGATTTATCGCATATTTGAAATGTTCCATTGATGCCTCCGAATTTAACTCAGTGGTGTTTCCCACTTATGTTAAGCTTCCTGACATCCCTTTTATAAAAGCAATTCCCTGCACATTCCAGTCCAGACACAACAAGACAGTTTACAGTTGTCTAGAGAGCAACTCAGCTTTTACCACAAGGGTTAAGTTTCTTGTTCAAGGGTCCTTTAGCAGCAGTTTTTACAGGCATTTACACCCAATTTTCCTTTGTTTCATATGTCAGTAGCAGTCCATACGAAATATGACCTTTGAAAAAATGGTTTATAGGTAGTTTCCAGTTGGTATAGCATGACTTCCTGTTTTAGCCGTAAATCATCATGAAATCCTGTATAAACCTGTCTGAACAAATTTCATATTTCTAGCACAGCTGGCTGCACCTGTCCACGTCTTCTGTTTGGGCTTTCATTTATTATTTATCTCTCTGTCTGACCTGTGTGTAAACTTATTGTGTTCCCTGCACACGTTGCCAGAAAAATTTGATAATATTTGTGTCGATACAGTACACTCCCTCCTCGAGTAAGACTCTTAAAAGGTGACGGATGTAGTGAATTGGAAGATAGCAGAGCAGCAATATGAGAGTCAGTGTCTTGCAGCCAGAACAAGAGAATGTACTGCAATTCTATTAGGTGGGAAATATATAAAGCTTATCCCTGATTGGGTCCTGCACAGGTCCCCACAGAGACAGATGAATTTGTCGCCATGGCAGGGGTCGCCCAGATGGATGGTTCTCATTGGGTGCCAGGCTGCTGCTGGTGCTATACCAATATAGACAAAGATTCCATTATGTCCTCAAAAAGTGCTTATCGAAAGGGGGGGCATTCACCCAACCTCGCCACCTCGCTAGTTGTTGTCATTCCAGCAGCGTTGCTCATTGTCATCATGCTGGATTGCTGTAATTTCCGTGTGCCGCGTCGTCTTTTGTGACTCCTGGGGGAACACAAGGTTCAGCTGCTTTCCTTCCGCAAGCTACAAAGATATCTCCCTCCGCCTCCACACAAACAAACTAACAGGATTTCAGTCTCACTGTCAAGGTCTTAATCTTTGTTTAAGCATTGCTGAGTGCTCGTCTGTATGGGAATGAGCGAGTGTACTAAGCAAGTAGTGCCAGTGTGTGTGTGTGTGTGTGTGTGTGTGTGTGTGTGTGTGTGTGTGTGTGTGTGTGTGTGTGTGTGTGTCTGTATGTGTGTGTGTGTGTGTGTGTGTAGAGTGTGTTTACACGTACCTGGCCCTTCAGTGGATTAACATGTTTACATGGTAGCCAAACTCGGTGGCTCTGTGCCCTGGTGGCAGATGGGACATCAGCAAGGTCACTTTAATTAGGGACTTACAAGCCAGCAAAAAAAGGAAAAGAAAATTATAATTCGGTCACCAGGCTACTGGCAAGTGTCTTCCCATGAACCTTTGCCCCACTTGCATCTGCTGCTTACTCTGCTGTTTTCATTTATTGGCTTAAGGCTGTACCTCGGCAACATGCACATGCACTGCTTCACACGAATGCATGCTTACTGTCAACCAACAGATGATAGTTATTTGCATCTTGGCTGCTTGTGTTCTTTGAGACTTCCATATCCATATCTCCTGAACAATTTATAATTATTTGTTGCGCATTATGGGAATAGAAACCTGAGTTCATCAATGTGTCTTTCAAGATAACACCCGCAAATCATGTTAAGTGGACATCCAATCTTTTAAATAGACTGGGATCTGTTTGACCTCAGGCAGCAATTGATTTGCGTATTGCTAATTAATTGAGGTTGTGCTTTGAATCATGAAGATGGAAGTGAATCCAGGCTAGTAGCGGGTGTACCATTTTGAATGATAAAAGCTTGCCAAATGTTATAGCAAAGATATCAAACGCTATGCAAATTTGCGTTTTAAATGGATTTTTCAAACCTTGCCAGAATAAGGTCCAGTCATATTTGACTAAATGCATTTTATTATAGCTTGCTGCTTTTATGGTTTTTTGCACCAGGAGACAGAGGTGTTCTGTGATGATATGAGACACAGGTAATGAGCTTGTTAGAGTTGCACTTTATGGTATCACACACAGAAACACACAGGCATATCAACACCAAACAGAAAAGACCCGACACTTCTGGAGCCAGATGACCTCCAGGGAATCTCGGGCTTCTTACAGCCTTTGTTTGTGTGTGTGTGTGTTTGTCTATGAACGCCCCTGCAACGCTCACACTTTTTTGGCAGTGGTTGAATGTAAGCAGGAATTGCCAAAAACTGGAACAACTGGCTTTTCTCCTCTGAAAAGCCCAATTTGCCTTGTGTTTTCACGGCTGAGATCAAAAAGTCTGCATTCCTCAAGTGACTGGCCATTTAGTTCCAGACATAGGTGTACACACACATACTTATATCCACTCCTCCACACACATACACCCTCCCCCAACCAGTTGGATTCTTAGCCTGGTGTGGGTCACATGCACAGCCCCTCCTGACTTGGGTCAACCCCCCAAGGCTTCACCACCACAAGCATAGCCTGCCGTCATTAAACTCCAACGGATTAGTGGGAGACTCCAGCCCACAACCCAACAGCCTCCTTGGCCCACCCTGGACGTCCCACAATTCCATATGGGCAAGACATGAGAAGAATGAAGGAGAGAAAAGATGGGGACATGACTGGAAGCAGCACTTAAGATTCTGTCTTCATGTCCTTCAACGAATGAGAGCAGAAAATGAAATTAATTGTTGAGACAGAACTGTAATCCATCAAGTTCATTTGGATGTCTATCCAGCAAGGACACTCTGAGGCCTTGTCCACACCCCCTCTCCTTCCTGTGTTACAACACTCAGACAGGATGACCGGTGAGCAGACACGAACATGGGGGCCACTGGGGGCCCTACGGGGCCTGAAGATGAGGGAGGCAGTTTTCAGGTAATGAGCAGTGCAGCAATTTTGATTTTGATTCAGGACGGGACTAACTTTTTCAGTCTTTCCAGGCATGGTTTCACTCCACTGCTTTTTGTTATACTTACCACACTTATCCTCTTAAAGACTTTATTGTAGTCATTCCTCTGCCTGCAATGGAGATTAGACACTTCTAGAAAGGGAAAAGGAGAGGCCCCTTTGTTGACTGCTGCTCACACACTCCTTGGCGTACACAGAGGTACGATATTTTGACGCTTGTGCTGCTTGGTTATTCTCACATTTATATGTCTATTTTTTATCACTCTTTAAGGCATTCAAGGTAAACCAGTTTGCTAAAGATAGTTTGGAAAGAAATAACTTCTGACTTCATTTTGCTTGGCCACCAGATGACAGTCATTGTCACCCAGATCACATGTGATCTCGTTAGCTAGGGCGTTTACAGCCGACACGGTCCACTTGACTTTGAATCATTGGTGT